CAGGCAGACGCTTTAACCTCTGACCCACCAGGAAAGCCCCATATATATCTATATATACCTATATGTATATCTACACCTATATATATAGGGCTTCCGTGGTAGCTCACACAATGAAGAATCTGCCTGCAATGCAAGAGGCCCCAATTCAATCCTGGATTGGAAAGAGATATATATATATATATATATGCACATATGGATAATATGCATGTGGATAATAATAGGTAGAGGTGTGTATATATATATTAATGAATATATATGTATGTACATATATTTTTGTTGCTGTTTAGTCGCTCAGTCATGTCTGACTCTTTGTGACCCCATGGACTGAAGCAGGCCAGGCCTCCCTCTCCTCCACCATCTCCTAGAGTTTGCTCAAACTCATGTCCATTGAGTCGATGATGCTGCCATCCAACCATCTCATTCTCTGCCACCTCTGTCACCTTTTGCCTTCAGTCTTTCCCAGCATCAGGGTCTTTTCCAGTGAGTCTTCTCTGCGCATCAGGTAGCCAAAGTGTACATACATATGTGTGTATAGTTATGTATATGTGCATGTATGTGTGTGTATGTATTTAGCGTCTCTATGTATATGCACTTTCCTGGTGTCTCTTTGGTAGGGAATCTGCCTACCAGAGTTGGAGGCATGGGTTCAATTCCTGGGTCTGGAAGATCCCTTGGATGAGGAAATGACAATCCACTCCAGTATTATTGCCTGGAGAATCCGATTAACAGAGGAGCCTGGTGAGCTACAGTTCGTGGGATCGCCAGGAGTCAGAGACAGCCGGGTGACTAAATGATGACAAGAACAGATATGTACCTCGATAGATGCCTGTATATGTGTGTGTGTATGTGTGTTTGTGTGTGTGTGTGACATGTATAGGCACAGCATAACTTTCCAAGCTTTTGGGGATGACCACCCCCCCCCCCCACCGCCCTGGAGAAGGAAATGGCAACCCACTCCAGCATTCTTGCCTGAAAAATCTCATGGTCGGAGGAGCCTGCTATAGGTTACAGTCCATGGGGTCGCAAAGAGTTGGACACGACTGAGCAACTTCACTTTTTCACTTTCTTCTGGTTCGCTGGGATGACCTCTCGGGACTCGTGGGTTGTGAAGCCACCTGTCATGTTGTGCAGAGGCCCAGGGCTTGTGAGGAGACCCGTGTAGAAAAGAACGAGACGTCTCCAGGTGTACCCCCCCCCCACCCAGCCAAGTCTGAGACCCCCCCAGGGGTCTCAGCCAGTGCACAGCTTGCCAACATGAGCCATGACAGAGCTGCCTTTTGTTAACTTTCTGAGTTGCCACTTGTGGTTGTTTCCAGCTGCCCACCGTGTCTCAGACTTCAGGATCAGCCCCAAGTGGTATTTGTGACCATCCTTCACATCTGGGTGTGTGGGGAGGAGCTTGACTGGTCTGATGATGGCTTTTCCCCCATCTTCAGCCCCACGTTTTCATATTTCAGCACTGCTTGTTGCAGGTGCTGCTACTTCGGGTCCCCCCCCCCCAAAGGCTACCACCTCAAAGAAAAAATATGTTTTGGCCTGAGGCTGAACACCAGACATTTAAGAAACACAATCAGGAACTTACTCTGGACATCAGGAGTTAATCTCTTTGTCTATCCTTAAAATAGAGCTTCTCCCTAGAGTACTCATGTTCAATTATGTGTCATTTCTGTTATTTCTGGTGCAGTGAGGATTAAAGGCCCATCATGATGACTTTTCAGGGAGGCCAAAGTTGCCCTTACTTACTTTTCTCAGCATAGATAGCATTCATCAGGGGGCAATAATAATAATAATAATAAAGCTCTCATGAAAGTATGACAAGTACACAAGGAAAAAAGTAAAGGATTATATTTTAAAGCCTTGGGACATAGAATATTATTCCTTATAAGAAGGTCCCTTGGTATTGGGATTATTTCCTGGAATGCTCATGATTTATTTGACAAAACCGCCTAATGAGCAAACCGCAAACAAGCAGATAATAAGAGCTTCAGAGAACACATGTTGGTTTTTTGCCCCCCCTCAGTGGGGTTTGCTTGTAGCCTCTAGCACTCTCTGTTATATCAGAACCATCAGTTCTCAAGTAAAAGTGTCACTGGCGATTTGTTAAAACAGCATGTGATTTGCACAGCACTTCCAGGCAACTGTGTGAAATGGGTGCAAGGTCGTCACCTCAAGTCAAGCTCAAACGTCAAACAAAGGAAGTTCCTACAAGACGCAGCAGTGGATTCCAAAGTTTCTTCTTGTGTAATTTCCCTCCTAAGAGATGCTCTTTCAAAACCAAGAATTCTGTGGGGATTCTATGCCACTGAAACTGTAAGCCATATTTGAGTCACCAAGCAGTCATTGATCATCCAGTACTGCAAACTCCTCATATCTGTGTCCACGGTTGGGTAGGGGCTGTGGTTCCTAGGGCTTCTAAAACTTTCAGTTCACTTCAGTCGCTCAGTCGTGTCCGACTCTTTGCGACCCCTTGGACTGCAGCACGCCAGGCCTCCCTGTCCATCACCATCTCCTGGAGCTTGCTCAAACCCATGTCCATCGAGTCAGTGATGCCATCCAACCACCTCATCCTCTGTCGTCCCCTTCTCCTCCCGCCTTCAATCTTTCCCAGCATCAGGGTCCTCTCCAATGAGTTGGTTCTTTGCATCAGGTGATCCAAGGATTGGAGTGCATAGGGTTCCCTTTTCTCCACATCCTCACCAGTGCACGTTTGTGGCCGTTGACAGTAGTCCTTCTCACAGCTGTGTGATGACATCTCATCGTGGCTTTCTGTGCATGTCCCAGATGAGTGGTGATGCTGAGCATCTTTTCACGTGTCTGTTGTCCATCCACTTGCCTTATTTGGGAACATCTCTGTGCAAGTCCTCTGTCCATTTTAATGAATGCATTCACCGTTGGCTGTGCTGGGTTTTCCTTGCTTTCCGTGGGCTTTCTCTAGTTGTGGCGATTGGGGAGCTACTTCTCATTTCAGTGCACAGACCTTCTCACTGCAGCAGCTTCTTGCAGAGCGCGGGCTCTAGGCATTCAGGCATCTGTAGTTGTGGGACACAGCTCAGCAGTTTCAGCGGGCGGGCTTGGGAGTTGTGGCTCTCGGGCTTAGCTGCTTCACAGCGTGTGGGATCTTTCTGGACCAAGGATCAAACCTGTGTCCCCTGCGCTGGCAGGCGGATTCTTATCCACTGTGCCACCAGGGAAGTCGCTCTGCCCATTTTTTAAATCTTTTCTTTTTTTTAAATGTCAAATTGTGTGAGATCTTGTATATTTTGGACATTAAACCCTGATTGGATCTCTCGTTTGCAAATATCCTCTACCATTCTGTAGGCTGCCTTTCTTTTTCTTTTTCCTTTTGTTGATGGTTTCCTTCACTGTGCAAAAACCTTTCAGTTTAATGTAGTAGGAAATGGCAACCCACTCCAGTATTCTTGCCTAGAGAATCCTGTGGACAGAGGAACCTGGTGCGCTGCTGTCCATAGGGTCGCACAGAGTCGGACACGACTGAAGCGACTTAGCATGCATGCATGCATTGGAGAAGGAAATGGCAACCCACTCCAGTGTTCTTGCCTGGAGAATCCCAAGGACAGAGGAGCCTTGTGGGCTGCTGTCCATGGGGTCGCACAGAGCCGGACATGCCTGAAGCGACTTTAGCAGCATGGGTTTATTGATCATATAAGCCTGGGTTTATTGATCATATAAGCATGGGTTTTTTGATCATATAAGCGTGGGTTTATTTCTGGGCTGTCTGTTCTGTGCCATTGATCTATGTGTGTGTTTTTGTGCTAGTACCATACTGTTTTGATGACTGTAGTTTTGTAGTGTAGTTTCAAATCCGGGCCTATACCTCCGATTTTGTTCTTTCTCGAGTTTGTTTTGGCTGTTTGGGGGTCTTAGTGTTTCCATATAATTTTAAAAGTGTTTGTCTTAGCTCTGTGGGACGTACCTTTGGTATTTTGATAGGGATTGCATTGAATCTGTAGCTTGCTTTGGGCAGTAACCTCATTTTAACTATATTAATGTTTTCAGTTCATGAGGATGGTATATCTTTCCATTTATTTGTGTGATATTCAATTTCTTTTATCAGTGTCTTTACAGTTTTCCAAGAACAATTATTTTACTTCCTTGGTTGGATTTATTCCTAGGTATATTTTATTCTTTTGATATACTTAACAAATGAGCCCCTGTTAAAATTTCTCTTTCTGGTATTAATAGTTCATTTTTAGTGTAGGGGAAAACAGCAGGTTCCTGTGTGTTAATTTTGTAGACTGCAACATTGTGAAATCTTGATTTTTGCAGCAACGTGGATGGATCTAAGGGCCTGATGCTAAGTGAAACGTTAGAGAAAGACAAATACTGCCTAATCTCACCTGTATTTGCAATCCACAAAGCTAAACACCAAAATGGGAAGAGTCACAGGTACGGAGAATAAATGAGTGGTTGTGTGAGGGGAGGAAGAGGGTGGATGACATAGGTGAAGCCGATTGAGGAGGACAGAGCCCCAGTTAGACAGCATATTAAGCCATGGGGTCATAATGAACAGCATAAGGAATACAGTAAGAAATATGATGGAACGTTTGCACGGGGACAGATGGTTACTGGACTTGTGTGGATCATTTCACATTGTATGCAAATGTCAGATCCCTGCATAGTATACCTGAAATTAACATAATAGCATATGTCCCCTGTGAGAAATAAGAAAAACACGCGGGCCAGAGGCAGAGGGCATGGAGGAGTGGATGGAATTGAAATCCTCTGCCTGGTAAAAAGGGGGAAAAGGAGTGACAAAATGCTGACTCTGGCGGGGGAGGGGGCGGAAACACTTTTGTTCAGAACGTCAAGTTTTTTCCCTGCGTGATGCGTACAGTTAGTTGGTCCCAAAGCAAGAAGAGTGTTGTTTTATTTTTAAATTTGCATCAGGCAATTTGGTGATGAGTCCCACTGTATCTTTAGAGGTAAATGGGCCTAATTATTGATGATTGCAAGACGCCTGTTCAGCTTCTCTTTACCAGGGCGAAGAAGGGACAAATGCGTGCCGGGAAGGGGAATGGGATCCTGGTGTCTTCCTCCTGAGGGCTGTTTACCGGAAGACGCTGTTTTCTCACCTTGCGTTGACGGAAGTTCGGCACCCTGTCTAATCTTTGCTTTGTTTTCTTCCCCGAGAGAGCTTCTCTACTTGTCAGCTTTGCAAGTTTGATCCCTTCCTTAAGAAGAGACCACCATTCTCAGTGTATGTCACCTAGGATAACAGGATGCTAGACGTTGTCTCTTGAATTTATGCAGGATTCCGGTATATGTGACGTCACCTTACTGGAAGAGTCAGTGCAGGTGTACATGGAGGTGTGCGTGTCAACGTAATTACATCACAGCATTCACACTTGATCGCTTCTCTTTGAAGGAGGTAAGAAAATGTCCACATAGTTACTTTCTCTTTTTTAATACTTTTTTTTTTTTTTTGTATTGAAGGATAATGGCTTTACAGAATTTCGCTCTTTTCTGTCAAACCTCACCATGAGTCAGCCACATGTATACATGTATCCCCTCCCGTCTGGGCCTCGCTCCCATCTCCCTGCCCATCCCATCCCTGTAGGCTGACACAGAGCCTGTTTGTGTTTGCTGAGCCATATAGCAAATTCGCATTGGCTGTCTTATTTTACGTATGATAACATAAGTTTCCATGTTACTCTCTTCATACGTCTCACCCTCTGCCCCTCTCTCCCCAGGTCCATAAGTCAATCCCCTTTTTAAAATTAGTTTTCTTTCTTTTTGCCTGTGCTGGATCTTCCTTGCTTCGCTGGCTCTCTCTGGTTGTGGTGTGTGGTGTGCAGGCTTCCCGTTGCCGTGGCTTCCCCTGTTGTGGAACACGGGCTGTAGGTGTTCACGGGCTTCTGTCGTTGTGGCCTACGGGCCCTGGAGCACAAGTTTAAGTATTTGTGGTGCATGGGCTTGGTTGTTCTGCAGCCGGAGGGATCTCCCCAGACCAGGGTTCGAACCAGTGTCCCACGCATTGCAAGGCAGACTGTTAACCCCTGGACTCTTAGTTCCCTTAACTCTCGCAATTTCTGAACCTGTTTTAGCCCTCAAGAGACACTCTCCTGCAGAAGGCTAGCATAGCAGTTCCGAGCACAAACTTTGATAGAAGCTGTCCTCATCTCTTATTGGCTGTGTGACCTCAGACAAGTGTCTGAAGCTCTCTGTGTCTGAATTCTCATTTGCAAAAGGGGCATAGCCTATACCTTCAGGTGGGATTGCTGTGAAAATGGAACCCATGAAATGAAAACTCGGGGGAGCAGTCCATGGCCTGAGGCAAGTGCTCACGAGTGAGCGCTATGGCTGTCATCACAGATGTGTAGACAGTGATGTGACGCGTAGACAATAGTGTGATGCGAAGACGCTGCTTCGCGTTCGCGAGTCCACAGCCGCGGTTTCCTGGCTTGGATGCAGGTCTGGTTCCAGGTTCCTCTGCTAAGGGCAGTGGGGAGCGTGACCCTCAGGACTCTGGCCCTGCAGTTCCTTCTCCATGGACAGGGGCACGTTCCTCTTATCTGAGTTCCTCCTTTGTCGGTCACAGTGCGAATCCTCGCCTCCTCACAGTTAAGGCAAGAAGCAAATCATTTATAAGCCGCTAAAAATTACAGAGGTCTGCAGAGGGTTCGGTGCTGTTAGGACTTCCTGATTTTAAGTGATGATTCCTCATTATATAGATGCAAGTACGTATTGGATGCTTTGCCGACCATCTAGTTCCTTAAATCAAGAAAATGGCTCATCCACAGAGATGCTTCAGCATCTTTTAGCATTCCCTCTAAAAGATGCCGGATGAAGTTTTTGTCTTTATTCCTTGCATTGTATTTTTACTGGAATTTACATTTCTGGATTGACTTGGGTATTCTGCTTATGTTTTCCTTTTACTTGTGTTTTTCAACTCAACTTATAGATAATAAGAATAGACATCTAAGTACATAGAAAGGGTTTTGAAGATAAGCAGGCTGGGTAAAGAAAAAAAAAGTGTGGGGCCAACATTAAAATTTCCAAGCAGGTAGAAAATGTAAATCAAACCCCAAATGCTGGGTACCTAATTTGATAGATTCCTGGCGCGTGTGGCCGTCTGCCTGTAACAAATCCGACGTGAACAATTTGGAGGCATCAAGTAGCTTATGAAAGGAAGTATTGGATGTGTTGAGCAAAGGAATGAACAATAGCCACAGGATTCAAATTTCCTGAAAATTCTCTGGAGTTCAGAGTGAAGGGAACTTTGACTTTGGCACAATGTATCTGAGAATTGGCCGAACCGAACACATTTCAAAAATAGTTTGAACTCTCAGTGGGGCCTAAAGCATATATTTTTTTTTCCCACAAGCCTTAAAGCCATGTCTTATTTTATCCAGAAGTTTTACTTCTTTCCGTCCCAGGGGAGAATGTAAATTTGGACACTTCTGAAATGAATGAGACCTTTTAGGTTAAGATGGATGGCCTGTCAAATACCATCATAAACTCTAGTAGGCAGACTTCAAGATATTCACACTCTCGCCATCCTCTCCCTCATCGAACATGCTTGGTTGGTGTGACTGAAAGGAAGTATGACTCTTTTTTTTTTTCATGTTTCCATGTTCTGTATCAGAGGAAAACCTGATTCCAGGCCGCGGGGACACAGGTTTCTAGATCATTCGTCAGTGAATCAGGTCCCTACTTTACATTTTAAATATCAGTGACTGCATGTAGATATCAAAGGGCAGTCAGCTTTCTTGTTGTTGTTTCGTCTGTAAGTCGTATCTGACTCTTTGCGACCCCAGGGACTGCAGCCCGCCAGGATTCCCTGTCCTTTGGTCTCTCCCGGAGTTTGCTCAAACTCACGTCCATCAAGTCGGTGATGCCATCCAACCATCTCATCCTCTTTCGCCCCCTTCTCCTCCTGCAATCAGCTTTTATACCGCCCCCTCCCCCTTAAAATTATATTTGGCAAACCTTATTCTTACCTTATTTACAAAATTTAATCTGCCTATACCTTTTGCTTCTGTTTTATAAATATTAGAGCAGGGTGCCTCCCAATGTAGATGTTTCATTTTGTATCCTTCCTGTTTATTACACTGAGAAAGATGTAAGAGACACATAGGAAGTCAGGTAATGTTTCATCGGGAGCAAGAACTATAGTTTTCACCTCCAAATCAATAGCGCCTGAATATCTCATAATACTGTCTTCATTCCTTTGTTTGAACCAGTTTTCGACAGAAACACTTCATTCGCCAGAACTTGCCTAAAAGTAGCGTCAAAGTCCTAACTCATATGTATAAAGTTGCAATCAGATTTTTTTTTGTTTGTTATGCATTGGAACATTTTGAAGTTCCTGGATGGCAAAAGGTTGAAAAAAAGTAACTTTTTCCCTTAAATGACGACTTTGTAGAAATGAATATACCCCATTGTTTTTTGAACTTCAAACACATGGCATAGTTCTTAGGTACCTTTGACGCCGGGCTCATTTTTGGCACGGCGTACAGCATAGCCGCTGGAAAAGCTTTCGCGGTCCCGTAGACACAACTGTAATGTCTGAAGCGGTGGTTTTTCAGCAGACCTGGTTTTCTTCGAAATATGCACCCACTGACCACTTCAAGGAAAGGTTGTGAATACCTGCATCTCTTTGACTTCATAGCTGTCTTCACTCCTGTATCTTAGGTGTTCTTAGCTCTTTAGCAAGTTGCTGTCTCCCTCCCCATTTGGTAGAATGTTCAGTTGATGTCAGTTCTGTAGTGTAACCTGTGTTTTCCATTCTTACTGTGGCAAATTACATTCCTACCACTCACTCGTCATAAAAAATTACACTAGAGGAAATCTCATTTTTTTCAAGACGGTGAAGGGTTTACATACATCAAAGGGAGCTGGCAGGAAGCATTAAATACAGAACCAAGGACAGCGTTACCAGGACACTAAATTTTAAGCGTCTGCTTTATTTGCCTATTAGGTGAATAACAGCAACTTGCTCCTACTGAATTGTATTATCTTTCAGGGTGGAAGACTCTCAGACTCCACACGACACCTGATTTTTCAACAGTAACAGTATCCTTCTCAGCGGGTGAAAGCTGCTCAGCTTCATGTACCCAGGTACTTTGTTTTCACCACCAAGCAGATAGTTTGTGTCCTATGAGTATAAAATATGTCAACAGGGCAATTTAGCTAATAGGTGCTGGCATCGTTTTCCCGTGAAGGTCTCGGTGAAGGGTCTAAAAGAAGTTAGCCTGCTGAAAATGAATGCCACTCGTGCCATAATATGGAAATAAATCACATTGCTCTTTAGACGACGGGATCCTAACTTGTGAGTTCATGGCCATCAAGTCAAACCTTGTCAAGTCATCTTTCTTCACATCTGTTGGCTTCCCGGCAGAGAAATCTCTCCTGAGGACACAGGAAGGGTCTGGCAAGGCAGATACTGACATTTCCTATGATGGTTATTTCCCAGCTGACATATTGGAGGAATAATTTTTAAAAAAAATTTTACCAGATGTGCAGAGTACTTTTTTTTTTTTTTTCATTTATTTTTATCAGTTGGAGGCTAATTACTTTACATCATTGCAGTGGTTTTTGTCATACATTGAGATGAATTAGCCATGGATTTACATGTATTCCCCATCCCGGTCCCCCCTCCCACCTCCCTCTCCACCCGATCCCTCTGGGTCTTCCCAGTGCACCAGAAAAAGAGAGATTGATTTACAAGAGAGTGTATACACATACATACACACACATGCATATATATTCAAAGTGTGTGTATGTATGTGTATACACTCTCTTGTAAATCAATCTCTCTTTTTTTATTAACATCGTTGGAAACAACTTTTCTTCCACCTTCACGATATCCAGTTCTTCACACGTTCATGAAAGGCTCTGATTGTTTCTCTGTCGACCATGCTGAGCTTCAGCTTGAGAATGGGGCAGATCAGAGCGGGATAGAGTCTCTTTCAGCCTGGTCAGATGAATGGGACGGCGCAAATGAGACAGTATCTGGTGGCAGGTGTTAGACTCTTGTGTTTTGGGTGGGGGAGTTCCCCGTGTCAGAGGCGCTCTAGCACAGTCCTGAAACTGTCCGTGAAGCATCTCCACTACACTGTATCCCCCTGGCATCTCCCAAGTGGTCCAAATCCACACACCGTGT